TGACCTCTTAGACTCAGGGCACTGACTTCTTAATTTGCTGTTGGAGTGCAGAAGGCTTGGAATCTTACATCCTGGAACTTTTAGATTTGGAAGAAGCCTCAGAAGTAACCTGAAATACAGCTAAGTGGTTAAGCACCCAGGTATTAAAGTCAGGCTGCCTGGATTTCTTTAAATACCAGCTCCACTGCTTCCTAGTCCTGTAACCTTGGGCAAGTCACTTAGTCTTTTCCTGCCTGCATTTTCTATCTTCAAAATCAGGCTAATAGTAGCCAACTCATAGTGTCGTTAGCTGAATTACTATATGTAAATTGATTAGAACAGTGCCTAGCAGTGGAAAGCACTTAAGTGTTAGCTCTGATGTTTAAAGCAACAGTAACCAGTGTTAGCAGTTTGCAGCTATGGTACTTAAGGTAATGTGTCAACTTGGCTGGACCTGATTTTGAGTGGCTGAGCAGCTGGATGTAGTTACATCCCATGAATGAGACTGGCAATTAACTCCAAGGTGGAATCTGCTGTGAGAGCTGAGTAGCTGCCTTAAGGATGTGGTCTGCTTCCAGTATATAAGCAGCAGCTTTGAGAAAGGTCTCTGAGCTTTTTGGCACATTTGGACTCTGCATGTAGCCGAGTCTTCATTCAGCAGCCTGCCATGTTTTCTGCTGATCTTGGGACTGTTTCTGGACTTGAACTAGTGGCCTGCCATGTTGCTTGACAATCTTGGGACTGTGCCATTTGACTTGTAGACCCTGGGTTTGTCAGCCTCAGCCGCCAGCAGCTGCCTGGGTTAAGAGACGCCTCCAGCTCCAGTGGGCCAGGAGCAAGAGGCAGAGCTGAAGTCCAAGGTCAAGGGGCCTTCATCCAGCCCCTAGAGCTGGCACTTTGAACTCAGACTTCTCACCTCCCAAACTGTAAGAAAATAAACTCCTGTTTGTTGAAGCTATCCATTGTGGCATTTTCTGTTAGAGCAGCACTCTCTCACTGCTGTCGAGTCAGATCCAACTTATAGCAACCCCTCCTTGGGTTTCCGAAGTGGTATCTTTACGGAAGTAGATTGCCCAGTCTTCCTTCCGAGGAGTGGCTGGTGGGTTTGAACCACCAGCCTTCTGGTTAGCAGTCAAATGCCTTAGGCACTAAGCCATCAGAGCTCTTAAAGCAGCACTAGAAGACCAAAACAGCAGCCAATTTATTTTCTATGCACTCACTAACATTTTGTAAGTGTTTTATAAATATGGGAAGGTATATACCTATTGCTCTGTAACTTTCTTTTTTCACCAATAGTGTATCCTCTGTGCCACTTTTGATATACCTTGTAAGCATTTCCTCTGACTTTTCTTCCCATATCTTCAGAACCTTCCCATTAGTGCCAAGTTGCATGTTCTGTAGTTTACTCAGCCAGCACCCTACTATTGGACGTTAAGGCTATTCTCAAATTTTCTCTCCTGTAAATAAAGCTGTGCTGGACAAGTGACTGTTGCCAACTGACTGTATGACCACAACTATGACCTCCCTGAGTCTTAGTTTTGTTATTTAAAAATAAATGACAAGATTCTCCTGGGTGATTGAAAACTCCTGTGATTCACACATGACTCATTTCTAAGACCTCTCTTATAAGGAACTATCCAGCTTCTGCCTGCATTCCTGCAATGACAGGTTGCTCACTGTCTCATTAGCAGCTTACTTCATTGTTGGATGGCTGTAATGGTCAATAAACCATCCACTTATGTTAACACATATGCCTATAAGGAGCTCTGGTGGTGCAGTGGTTAAGGTATTTGGCTGCTAACAAAAAGGTTGGTAGTTCAAACCCACCAGCTGCTCCATGGAAGAAAGACTAATCAGTTTGCTGCTGTAAAAATTTACAGCTTTGGAAACCCAGTGGGGGTCACTATGAGTCAAAATCAACTTGATGAGAGTTGAGTATTTTTGTTTGAGACAAGGAAGACCAATTAATACTGTTGCATAGTGGCTAAGGCACTTGACTGCTAACCAGAAGGCTGGCGGTTCAAACCCACCAGTCACTCCTCGGAAGGAAGATGGGGCAATCTACTTCCATAGTGATACTGCCTCGGAAACCCAAGGAAGGGTCACTATGAGTCGGGTCTGACTCGATGGCACATAACAACAACAACAACATTCAAATTTATGTACTAACCACTAAAGCCAAAAAATGAAGAAATTGAAGATTTTTACCAACTTCTGCAGTCTGAAATTGACCAAACATGCAGTCAAGATGTATTGATAACTACTGGTGATTGGGAAAGCAGAAGTTAGAAACAAAGAAGAAGCATCAGCAGTTGGAAAATACAGCCTTACTGATAGAAATGACGCTGGAGATCACATGACAGGATTTTGCAAGACCAACAACTTATTCTTTGCAAATACTTTTTTTCAACAACATAAACTGCGATTATACACGTGGACCTTGCCAGATGGAATTGATACCATATAGATAGTTCTTAAAAGAGCATATTGTTCAAGGAAGACAGTTTTAGTATTTTTAAGCTAAACTATTATTTGCTTTTAAGAAGACTTCAGGGGATATTTTTAGTTTAAAGATAATCTCAGGACAATAGTTTCAGGAGTTCATCCACCCTCTGTGGTTCCAGAAAGTCTGTATTCCATAAGAATTTGATATTCTGTTCTGCATCATCCCCCTTTTGGTCAGGATTCTCCTATGGAATCTTTGATCAAAATGTTCAGTAATGGTAGCCAGGCACCATTCAGTTGTTCCAGTCTCGTGGCAAAGGAGCCAGTTGTTCATGGAAGCAATTAGCCCCACTTTCCATATCCTTCTTTTCCTGATTCTCCTTCTTCCTTCTTTGCTCCAACAAATAGAGAACAATTGTGCCTTGGATGGTTGCTTGCAAGCTATTTAAGACCCCAGGCACTACATGATAAACTAGGAGGCAGAACAGAAGCACTAAACAGGCATGTTATTAGACCAATTAATTGGAACGTTTCATGAAGACATAACCCTAAACTTCCAAACCAAGGAACCAAATCCCATGAGATTCTTGGTTGTACATAAGCAGCCTCAACAGCTCAATAGCAATGCTTCCTTTTTTGTTGTTTTTTTTTTGTCTTTGTTGTAAACATATCTGTTTTGGTCCTCTGGTGCCATTCTAACAGAAAATACCACAAATGGGTGGCTTTAACAAATGGGGATCTATTCTCTTACAGTTTGGGAGGCTAGAAATCCCAGTTCAAAGTGCCAGCTCTAGGGGCTGGGTGAAGGCCCCTTGACCTTGGGCTCCAGCTCTGCCTCTTGCTCTCAGCCCACTGGAGCTGGAGGCATCACTTAACTCAGGCAGCTGTTAGCTGCTGAGGCTGACAAACCCAGGGTCAACAAGTCAAATGGCACAGTCCCAAGATTGTCAAGCAACATGGCAGGCCACTGAATCAAGTCCAGGAACAATCTCAAGATCAGAAGACAGCATGGCAGGCTGATGAATGAAGGCTCAGTTACATGCAGGGTCCACGCATGTCAAAAAGCTCAGAAACCTTTCTTAAAGCATCTTCTTTAAGAAGTAGACCACATCCTTAATGCAGCTACTCAGCTGCTCCAGTAGATTCTACCGTGGAGTTGATTACAAGTCTCATCATGGGGAATAACTACATCAAGCTGACCAGCCACTCAAAACCAGGCCCAGTCAGGTTGACACACAACTAACGCAATATCTATTACACAAATCAAAAAACCAAATTCACTGCCGTCGAGTCAATTCCAACTCATAGCGACTCTCTTTGGGTTTCCGAGGCAGTAAATCTTTATAGAAGTAGGTTGCCCAGTCTTCCTCTGGTGGAGTGGCTGGAGGGTTTGAACCACCAGCCTTCTGGTTAGCAGTCAAATACCTTAGGCACTATGCCACCAGAGCCATTGATCACACACGTTTTGCCAATTCAACTTTTTACAAGTATGCAACTTATTGACAGCAATTACAATACTCAGCTGTGCATACCTACCCCTAATCAATGTAACTTTTCCACCTGTGTTAACCTCCTCTTTCCCTTTCCCTCCCACCTCTGGTAACTGCTAATAAACTTTGATATCTACACATTTGTCTTTTTCTTGTCTTTTTATGTAAACGAGTCATACAATATTTGTCCTTTTATGATTAACTTATATCACTCAGCATAATGTCTTCTAGCTCCAACCATGTTGTACATGTATTAGGACTTAATTCTACTGGCTGAGTAGCATTCCATTGTATGTAGGTACCACATATTGTTTATCCGTTCATCTGCTGATGGGTATTTAGGTTGGTTCCACCTTTTGGCTATTGTGAATAGTGCTACAGTGAACATTAGTGTACAAGTTTCTGAGTCTCTACTTTCAAGTCTTTTGGGTATTTACCTGAGAATGAAGTTGTTGGGTCATATCTCACACTCTTTTCAGTTTTTTGAGGAACCACCACACTGTTTTCCACAATGGCTGTACCCTTTTGCATTCTCACCAGCTGTAAATAAATTTCCCATTTCTCCACATCCTCGCCAGCATTTGTTTGTTTTTAGTCACCTTAGTGGGAGTGAAATGGTCTCTCACTGGTTTTGATTTGCATCTCTCTGATAGCTAATGACACTGAGCATATTTTCATGTGTTGGGTGGCCATTTGGGTAACATGTCTATTCAAGTCCTTTGTCTATTTTATGATTGGGTTATTTGTCTTTTTGTTGTTAAGTTCTCAAAATTTTATACATAGTATGCTCTTGCTCTCTTTTAAACTGAGCAGAGTGCCTGGTCTGTAGTAGGAATACAACAGCTACTTGTTGAATGAGTGATGAGTTGAATGAATGAATGTTAAAATAAATGCACTCTCCACCCCTCCCCCACCATAGTCTCTCAGCTGTAGTGTTAACACCGTTGACAGGCCTTCAGGGCCAGCCTTGCAGGTTGAGATAAGGCCTTTGGCGGTGTCTCCTCTATCACTCCCTCAGTGACTGTGGGGAGAGAAGGGTGATGCTTGGTGCAAGCGGAATCCAAGAACGCACAGAACGGACACAGAATGGGCTCTAAGTACCCGCAATCTGTCAGAGGCTGCCTGCCACTGTGGACCTTAGCACTAGAGGAGGCTCTCATTCTCATCTTCTTCTTTTTCACATCTTATGATACATCCTCAAAAGATCCGAAGTTCTTGGGGACTTATGCAGGTAAGGGTCCAGAGAGGAAGTGGTCATGGAGGCAAATAGCAAGGGCAGGGACAGGGGAGGTCTTTGGTCCTCCAGGGACATGGATAGTCCTTTCTACAAAGTCTCCGAGAAGAGGCATTCTCCCGTCTTCTCTTTTTACCTAGATTGTGCAAAGATCCCTTTTGGAAGCAGCCTGGGCATCACTTCTTCTGTGAAGCCTTCCTTGATTTGTCAGGGCAGAGTGAGAGGCCTCCTTTTCTAGGTTGCAGAATTCTGTCAAATTGTCTTGATAATATTTTACTTCTCTGCTTCTCCCACTTCTTTCTCCTTCTTGTTGTTGTTGTTATGTGCTGTTGAGTCGACCCCGACTCACAGGGACCCCTCCTTGGGTTTCCGAGGCGGTAATCACTACAGAAGTAGGGTTGCCCAACCTTCCTTCTGAAGAGTGGCTGGTGGGTTTGAACTGCCAGCCCTCTGGTTAGCAGTCAAGTGCCTTAGGCACTATGCTACCAGAGCTCCTTAGCAGCAAGAATTTTTATGCTGCTGTTGTGTTTTTTGTTTTTGGTCTCTCTTGTTCACTTTCGTACTACTCTTGTTCTTGAAGCTTTAGTCTTGCCCTCCCACCTCCCTCTTGCCCCACCCCAATCTTCTTCATACTTAGGGCCTGTGAAGTATACATTCTGTCTACAATTTCAGAGAAGCCATAAGGCTTAGCTGGAGGGGGGGTGTCGGATAGTTGTTATCTTATACGCAGCTAAAAATATTTCTCAGACTGTGATGAGAACAACTGTAAACAAGACAGATGTCCACAGTGGTATCGTTTTGCTTTTCTTTTTAAGCTGAAGTGGGTTTCAAGCATCTCAGTAGGCTGATAAATTGTTAATGGTAGTGAACAGACCTCCTTGAGTGACATCCCTGAGACAAAGCTCAAGCCTGAACGTCGTTGAGTGCTTGCTTGTTCCTAAGTTACATTAACTAACTAGTCAATGGAAGCCAAGAGAAGGCACTCCAGGACCCATGACCAGGGAAAGTACAACAAAGAGATGATTTGAGGTAGGAAGCCCACTTAACAGACTGGGCCAGAAAGGGGCCCTCACTGCTGGACAGGCTGGACAGGGAAGCCTGTTTAATTCATTGCAATATTAATTTAATTATTTTAAATCCAATCCAATATAATTCAATGCATTCATTCAACCATCCACTGTGGGAGCCAGACCTGGATTGATTAGAGCTGACATTTATTGAGCACTTACTATGTACTAGTGGCACAAATAGTTAATTCACTCATCTGTGAACTGAAAGGTTGGTGATTCGAGCCCACCCAGAGCCACCTCAGAAGAAAGGCCTGGTGATCTACTTCTGAAAAACCAGCCATTGAACTGTTATGGAGTACAGTTCTACTCTAACGTACATGGAGTTGCCATAAGTTGGAGTCAATTCTATGACAACTGGTGTACTGTTTACCAGACTCTATTCTAAATGCTTTACATCAACCCTCACAACAACCCCATGACATAGGTACTATTAGGATCTCTCTTTTTCAGATGAGGAAACTAGGCATATAGATGTCAAATAATTTGCCCAAGGTCTCTCAGCTAACAAAGCACAGAAGATTTAAATTTAAGCAATCTGCTTTTATTTTCAAGGACTTAACTATGATGCTTTACAGAAAAGCCAACTTACTTGTTGAGGGTCATATAAGCAGTAGGTGTAGAAGTCACTATTCCAACCTTGTAGACTGGCTCCTGGTCCTGTGCTGTTCACGCCTATGCTTTGCTGCTGACATAAATGTAAAGTGGAAGTACAGAGGAGGGTTCACAACCCAGGCAGGGGAGTGTGTGAGGGGATGGTGGAGTCAGGGAAGGTTTCTGGAGGGAGGCAACTGTCCAGCTGGGCCTTGAATGGACTGGGTTAGGGTTAAACATTGTAGTGTTATTGGTGCATAAAGGGGGGAGACAGGGCACGATGAACACTTTGGGTTGAGTAAGGATTTTGCTAATCTAATAGGAACAGGAGTGTTTTCATTACCTAGTGCCGCTCTGACAAAAATATACCACAAATGGGATGGCTTTAACAAACAGGAGTTTATTCTCTTACAGTTTGGAGGCTTTAAGTCTAAGTTCAAAGTGCCAGGCTCTAGGGGCTGGGTGAAAGCCCCTTAGCTTTGGGCTTCAGCTCTGCCTCCTACTCCTGGCTCACTGAAGCTAGAGGCTTTTCTTCATTCAGACAGCTGCTGGCTGCTGAGGCTGACAAACCCAAGGTTGACAAGTAAAAAGGCACAGTCCCGATGTTACCAGACCACACAGCAGGCCATTAATTCAAGTCCATTGAAAGTCCCAAGGTCAGCAGAGTGTGGCAGGCTGCTAAACAACGACATGGCTACATGCCAGGTTCAAATGTGCCATAATCTAGAGACCATTCCCCAAGGTTTCTCCTTATATACAGGAAGCAGACCATATGCCTATGGCAGCTACTCAGCTGCTCATAGTAGATTCCACCATGGAGTTGATTATCACTCGCATCATGAGGAATAGTGCATCCAGCTGCCCAGACAATCAATCAGGCTCAGCCAGATTGACACACAAACTTAACTACCACAAAGAGCATGACAAGTTTGGGTTTGTGGTATGGAGAAAGCCATGCAGGGCTGGTTGTAAAGGATGGGGGCAGAGCGCGACTGGAGGCAGTGAGACCACTGAAGATGTAACGTCATGTAGACCGGGAGACTTCAAAGTTTTGTGGCTGTGTACCACTTTTTGAGCATGCACCATAAGTACATGCTACACTCAAATACTACTGCATTAATAAATTGGGTACATATATATTTTGTATATATTGTGTAATACATGCACATAAATTAGAAAATTTGTAAGTGTGAGCTCAAAATGAAATACATGATATTTTCAAATTGCTAATTGTGTTGTGTCTCAATCTCAAGGCAAGGTCCATTGTTAATGATAGTGGATGTGAATCTATTCCTTGGAGACGTCTGGATAATTTCCAATTGTCTTGGCTGACTTCTTGTTAGATCTGGATTCATTGACCTTTTTCAAATCTTGCCTCAGTCTCTTATTAGCTGTGAGAACTTGGGCAAATTATTCAACTTCTCTCTGCCTCAGTTTAACCCTCTGTCAGATGATAATAGTATTTCTTTCATAAATGATTGAAAGGACTGAAAGAATTAACATGTATAAATCCTGATAAAGCATATTAACTTTTATTACTATTTAGCTCTAATTTCTTATTTTTTTAGATAAAAATAAAACTGGATTCATGCTTATACTCTCTTCCTAAAATCCCTATGGATAAACATCTTCTGAGATGTGTCTTGCTTCTCAGATGACCACTGGTCTGGCTGGCCTGCAATTAGGCCAACAAGCAGAGGTGGTGGAGGAGAAGTAAGGAGATAGAATCAAGAGATATTTAGGAGCTAAAATTAGCTGTATTGGTGAAAAAGATGGAGAAGTCCAGGATGGCTTCAAGTGTGCACTTTGGCAGTTGAGGTGCCTATTGCTGAGGTGGGGGATGCAAGAGAAGGGGCAGTTGCACGGGGAGTAAATGAACAATGAAATATTCATTCTGGGCTTGGGGTTGAGGTGCCTGTGAAATGCTTAAGGGAAGCAGGATGTTTCAGTTACCTATTGCTGCATTACAAGCCACCACAAAACTTAGAGGCTTAAAATACCAAAGCCAAACTCTCTGCCATCGAGTTGACTCCGACTCATAGGGGCCCCCCATTGGGTTTCCAAGGGAGTAAATCATTATGGAAATAGATTGCCCCATCTTCCTTCCACAGAGCGATTGGTGGGTTTGAACCACCAACTTTCTGGCTAACAGTCAAATGTCTTAAGGCACTGTGCCACCAGCACTCGTGAAAGCTTAAAATAGCAACCATTTCATTTGCCTATGATCATGATTCTGTGGGTCAGCAATTTGGGCTGGGATCAGCTAGGCGGTTCTTCTCTTGGTTTCACTTAGGTCCCTCATTCATACATCTGCAGCTGGTGACTCAGTTTGGCACTTGGTGCTGGTTGGCAGCCAGGACAGGGGATTCTATCAGGCTAGCCCAGACTTCTTCACATAGCATCAGAAGAGTTCCCAGTATCAAGAGAGGGCAAGTCCCAATGTGCAGGGTCTTTTCAAGCCTCTGCTTGTTCCACATTTACTCATGTGCCATTGGCCAAAACAAATCACAAGGCCAAACCCAGGTGGGAGGGGGTCTATACTGGAAGGCATGATTCATTGGGATCATTTCTGTAAAAACTACCACAGACATGCCCTAAGACTGCCAGATTGGGGAAACACCTGGGCCCTATGCTGTGGACAATACCAATACCCCTCTAGTCCACAGAGGCCAAGAGAAGGGCTATTAAAAGCAAAAGGGGCTTTCCTAATGATACGTAAATAACATCCCGGGGACCTTCCACATTTCAACCTTGAGATGGCCCTTTGGGGAATCTCTTTTTCTCTTCCCAGGCAGCTGCACTAGTGGAGGGTAAGAGTTGGGAGCTATGGAGGCAGGAGGCAAGGTAGGGTTCCATGAATAACTCCAACCTGGGGCTGCAGCGTTCTTCCTAGTCAGTGGTGAGGAGGTCAAGCCCGGAGCCTGAGGGACAGAGCTGTTGGTGCTGAGGTGTCTGCAGGCCAGAGGAGACATAAGTGTGGGTCGGGGCACAGTGCCAGAATCACACGGCAGCCAGGCTGGAGATGGTAGCTGTCCATGTGGATGGACTCAGAAGGGTGGCACTGAAATTATCCAAGAGGGCTCTTAGTAAGTAGATAAACAGGCCCAGAAAGGGAATGGTCCTGCCCAAAGCCACACAGCTAATAAGGGCAGGCACAGGATAATCATAATATTCACTATGCCCCCAACACTGGCAGCAAACTCCATGCTCACAGCCATCCTCTGATGGTGGCTGTTATTTACACATTAGGAAATTGGGACACAGAGGTGGGACTATCCTCTAAACACTGACCACCTGCCTCAGAAGCCCCCATTCTTTTTTTTTTTTTTTTTT